TTCCGGTTAGGACCTTTGTGGCTCCTGGTGTTTTCTTTTCTGTGGGAAACGGGTCCAAATGGCTATTTGAGTGTTTAGGTTTGCTGAGTCTTGACCAAGATAGATTCCTGTTTTGGTGCCTTCAAGTCAGTGTTGGAACCGTGGGAATAAATGGAGAAGTTCACACAGTTCTCTTGGCAACAATTTTGGAAGTGGTTTGCCCTTCCTTCCTTCCTTCCTTCCTTCCTTCCTTCCTTCCTTCCTTCCTTCCTTCCTTCCTTCCTTCCTTCCTTCTCCTCCTTTTTCCTAGGGCTGAGAAAGAGGAATTGGCCCAAGGCCACCCAGCTGGCTTTGTATCTAAAGTGGAAATCAAATTCCTGGTGTCCCGATTTCTGAATTACGGCCATTTTTTAACAATGGGTCTTGCCCAAGTTGATACCGTCAATCTTATAGCTCCCATAATTCTCACACAGTAACAGCGTTGGAAGGGACCTTGGAGGTCTTCTAGTCCAGCCCCCTGCTCTTGCAGGAGACCCTATATCCGTGGTGGAGAACAATGGTATGTGTGTCAGAGGTGGTGCATAGAGCCCTCTCTGCGGGCACATGAGCTGCCACCCAACTCATCTCTGCATGTGCCTCCCACTAGCCAGCTGATTTTCAGGTCTCTGCCGCACATGCGGCAGGCATGCGCACACATGTATAGGGGAGAGTGGGGGCAGGTGTGCATGTGCAGGGGGCTGGCGCCCCCCCCCAGCCCGTTTTTGGTCTCAGGAGGCTTCAGGGAGGCCTGCTAGGCCCAAAACGGGAGGAAGGGCAGGGGAGCGTGTGGGGGTTGTGATGCATGCCCAGGGGGATGTGGCGCGTGGGAGCTTGGGAGTGTCACACATGCATTGCATTATGGGTGTGGACGAGTTCGGCACATGAGGACAAAAAGGTTAGCCATCAGTCCCCTATATTATTTCAGACAAATGGCTGTCCAACTTCTTCTTAAAAACCTCCAGCGTTGGAGTATTCACAACTTCTGGAGGCAAGTTCTTCCATTGATTAATTGTTCTCACTGTCAGGAAATGTCTCCTCAGTTCTAGGTTGCTTCTGTCCTTGATTANTTAACCTGCAGGGCGGAAGCAATTGACTTTGTACATCGACCAGGTAAAAGTATAATGCTCTGGAGTTCAAGACTTAGCTTGGCAATCCGTCTTGTTAAGGGTCCTGAAGTCAAGGCTTGTTCTCCAACAACCTGCCAAGGTTGGTTGGTTTGGTTCCAAGGCACCAAAATTTAAAAAAGAAAAGAAAACACCACGGGCCACTGAAGTCTTGAGCCACGGAAGTTGTGCATGTTCTTGCCAACATTTCTATGGAAACGAACGTTGGACATCATGGACAATAACTGGCAGTCAGGATATGTGGTGAAAACTCTTTAACTGGACAACAGACAGACAGATTCCACCTTTCTGTCTGGATCCCAGACCAAGCCAAGTCTAAAAATGCTAGAGAATTCCTGGAAGCTTGGCAGGCAGACAAACCAGCCATCAACAGGCACATAGAGATAAACAACATCTGCATACCATTCAAAAGAGACACAATCTAACAGCCCCAAAGGAAACAAATAGGCCAAAAATACCTGCTCGTCAGCAATCAAACACCCCAGCTAAGCAAAAATTAACGCCAAGATTAATACTAAATCAGCAATACAATAAACAATACCCCAGTCAAGGAACTAGCAACTTAGACAAACAATCAAACAGTAAAGAACAGCCTGGCCAAGCAACTAACCAAAACAAGAGTCACCTCGAAGCAAATTGTGTGGCAAACAAATCTAATAAATTAATAAATAAAAACACCCCCACCAACACTGATAGGGCAAGCCACTTGTATATAGATAGAGAGCAAACCCCTCTCCCTTCTAGCACTGATGATGTTACCTAGTTGGGTCATGAATCGCTTACAAGAACAGCTCAGAGGGCATCAAGGACCCCACAGTAGTTGTTCTCCAGTTTCTTCCCCTGCTCTTCCTCTTCCTCCTCCACCACCACCTTCTCCACTCCCTCCTAGCACTGATGATGTTTCCTAGTTCAGTAATGACACGTCTGTAAAAGAACCACCCAGCTCAGAGAGCACTGAGGATCCCACAAATTCAACACTAGGCTACAGATTTTTCTCTTCTTTTGCTCCATACGTATGCAATACCTATGACTTAGAAGGAATAGCTGGAAAATGCTTCCACTTTCCTGCTGTGCTTTGCAAACTAGAAACTCCATTCCAAAATGGAATTAGTGGACAACCATTTAAATAGGAGCCAGCCGTGTGCAGCAGCTGCCAAAAAACCCAACACAGTTCTAGGCTGCATAAACAGAGAGACAGAATCAAGATCCCGTGAAGTGTTAATACCACTTTATAAGGCCTTGGTAAGGGCACACTTGGAATACTGCATTCAGTTTTGGTCGCCACAATGTAAAACAGATGTTGAAACTCTACAAAAAGTGCAGAGAAGAGCAACAAAGAGGATTAGGGGACTGGAGGCCAAAACATAGGAAGAATGGTTGCAGGAACTGGGTAGGTTTGGTTTAATGAAAAGAAGGACAAGGGGTCACATGATAGCAGTCTTCCGATATCTGAGGGGTTGCCACAAAGAAGAGGGAGTCAAACTATTCTCCAAAGCACCTGATGGTAGAAGAAGCAGCAATGGGTGGAAACTAATCAAGGAGAGAAGGAACTTAGAACTAAGCAGGAATTTCCTGACAGTTAGAACAATTAATCAGTGGAACCACTTGCCTCCAGAAGTTGTGAATACCCCAACACTGGAAGTCTTTAAGAAGAGGTTGGATAGCCATTTGTCTGAAGTGGTGTAGGACTTCCTGCCTAGGCAGGGGGTTGGACTAGAAGATCTCCAAGATCCCTTCCAACACTGCTATTCTAGTCTAAATTCAAGTCGTCTATTCTATTCTATTCAAAACACCTTGAAATGATGACTAGATGTTCCCAGCTAGCTTGCCCTAGAAAGATCTGTCNGAATTTGAGAAAAGGTAAGATCGCTTCACCGTATTTAAACAGGAGAATGGGCAGGTACACTATTGCTGATTTCAGCTTTCGTTCTTCTTACGATTAAGCCAAAAGTTCTCACAATGACTGCACAATTATAATCTGCGCTTCTCCAAGCAGGGCAATGGGGAGAAGATTCTGAGCTGAGTGAAAAGAAATGTTTTGCGGTGGTTATGTATTTGTAAGAAAAGGTGGGTTGTTCCTGATCTGTGGTTGCTACTTCCTGACAGACGTGGAAGGACAAACCATGATTCCAATTGGGTTAGCATCCTGGGAAGGGACAGAGAGAGTGGGAGGGAAAGAGGGAGAGGGAGAGGTAGTATTTAGATCAAGCATGTCCAACCTTGGCAATGTTAAGACCTGTAGACTTCAACTCCCAGAATTCCCCAGCCAGCACAGCTGGCTGGGGAATTCTGGGAGTTGAAGTCCACAAACCTTAAAGTAGCCACGGTTGGAGACTTCTCATCTAGCTCCAAGCTTTTGTTTGAGATCAATCTCCTTTGGGCCAGGTGAATGTTGCCACCAAGTTGGGCTTACTAAGGGGTTATATGAGCCGCGGTGGGACAGTGATCAGAGTGCAGTATTGCTGGCTACTTCTGCTGATCACCAGCTGCCAGCAGTTTGGCAGTTTGAATCTCACCAGGCTCAAGGTTGACTCAGCTTTCTGTCCTTCCGAGGTGGATAAAATGAGGACAGATTGTTGGGGGCAAGAGGCTGACTTTGCAAACCGCTTTGAGAGAGCTGGAAAGCAGTATATAAGTCTAAATGCTATTGCTAGTCCTTCCTTCCTTCCTTCCCTCCCTCCCTCCTTCGTGGTGCTTAGAAAGCAGAATTGCAGGCTAACATTGCATGCTATCAGCAGTTTGATCCTGACTGGCTCAAGGTTGATTCAGCCTTCTGTCCTACCAAGGTGGGTAAAATGAGGACCCAGATTGTTGGGTGCAATAGGCTGACTCTGTAAACTGCTTAGGGATGGCTGTAAAAGCACTATGAAGCAGTATATAAGTCTAAGTGCTATTGTCCATCCGTCCGTCCTTCCTTCCTTCTTCCTTCCTTCCTCTGTCCCCTGCCAGCAGTTCGATCCTGACTGGCTCAAGGTTGACTCAGCCTTCCGTCCTTCCGAGGTGGGTAAAATNGTGTGTGTGTGTGTGTGTGTGTGTGTGTGTGTGTGTGTGTGTGTGTGTACTAATTGTATCAGGGCATCACAACCTTCTTCTTCGATTCTATTTGCACAAGAAGCGGTTCCACAGATCACCTGTAAGCTTGTTAGTATATGGAAAAGTTTCCTGGAACAAATTTGGCAAGGAAAACCAAGGGGAGGAACTGGTTGGTTGGCTTTCCCCTCTCACCCCAGAGATGCTCAATTTTCAGACGGGGTCTCTAAATTTTAAAAGTAGGAGGGAGCAGATTGAGGGAAGCCTCTCAAATCTCATTCTGCCCTGCCCCCGCCCCCGACAAAGTTTGGTGGTTCACAAGCAACTTGCAACATAAATTCCCCCAAGAAAGTCATAGGTTGTGTGAAGCCTGCAAGAACCTGAGTTTCAATCTACATCTTCAGAAGCAATTTGGTATACAAAGCTCTTCAATAAAATAAGTTCCCAACGCCCAGATGTTGTTTTTTTCCAGCCTTTTACCTTGTCACCCATCATTCTAAAGCCCTGTGGTTGCCACAGAACGAAAGATAGCATTTGGGGGGACTCCAAATTTGGGTGCCACGAGCTTTACCCAGAGAAGGTCCACCATCCATGGTACACAACCATGTCTCGCTGGGGAATTCTGGGAGTTGAAATCCACATATCTTAAAAGTTGCCAAGGTTGGGAAACAGCGATCGAATCAAAGCCAAACAAATTTTTCCAGGTTTGAGATTTTGGGCTTGGACAATCTGGAACTGCGCCGCCTGGAACAGTCTGACCTAAGCATAGTACACAAAATTGTCTGCTACAATGTCTTGCCTGTCAATGATTTCTTCAGCTTCAACCACAATAACACACAGGCAAACAATCGATACAAACTGAAGGTAAACCGCTCCAAACTCAATTGCAGAAAATATGACTTCAGCAACAGAGTGGTCAATGCCTGGAATTCTCTGACTCCATTGTTGCAGCCTCAAACTCTCACGGCTTCCGTCTCAAACTGTCTACCGGGGATCTCACCCCACTCCTAAAAGGTCTGTAAAGGGGTCCCTGACCTACTGTCCCCATTTATCTTTATTTACTTCCTTTGTTCATATCTATCTTCATACCTATACTTGGTACCTCGTACATGTTTGACAAACAAACAAACAAACAAACAAATAAATAAACAAATCTTCCCAAAGGACAACTTCCGTGGCTAAAGATAGATGGTCATCTTTCCATCCTACCTGCTTCTGGACCTTCAACGGAATTTTCTTTTTCACTCTCTCCTTCCCTCGATCCGTTTCTCTCCCCGAACTTCCGGCATCGTTACTGTGCCCGTTTTCGCTGGGTTCAGCCGAGACACAATGTTCGCTTTCCCGAAGTTTCTTTCCAGGGTGTCTCTCCCATTTTTCCTTTCTCTCCTGAGGCTTCAGTGACATGTCCTTCTGTACATGAGGCGAAAACAGAACAGGGGGAAAAATATGTTAATGTTGACCCATTCGCCCAACAGCCATAGACATTAAGGAATTCTGTGTGGTGTTCTGACCCAGGCTTCCTTAACAAGCGTGAAACAGAGTCTTGGTCCCGGCAAAACCTCTTTTATGTACACAACTGTGAATTCCTTTCATTCAGCAAGTCAGCAAGACTTAGCAAACAGTCTTTCAGAGGAATATTTATCAACACAAACCTTATCTTGCTCAGAGAGCTGCCAGATAACTAGTTTCCAAACACTTGGCACCACTTGGCAAAGTCTCTCTTATAGTCACAAACAGAACTTTCCACTCTTGAAACGACCGAAGGAATGAATTGCTTCCTGCAAAAGTCACCTCCCCGTTCACTCCTCTTTTGTTTCCTATGGGAGGAGCCTCCAAGGTGTGGCTTTACTCCCAAGTTGACTCTGCTTTCTTATTTGTTCTTGCCTTCTGGCAGCTCTGTGCATGCACACACTGGGAATAGGCTCCAGCTGTTCCTCTGCCTCACTGATGTTAGACTCTGGAGGCTGCCAGAGATCTAATTGCCAATTAGTTTTGCAAGGCCAAAGGAAGCACAGAGTCAAACAGACTTCTCAGAGTTTGAACCAACCAGAATGAACAAAATTGCTTCCTGCAAAGGATCATGCCTTGTTCCTCTTTTATGTTTTATGGGAGGGGCCAATCACCTCCAAGCCTTACTCCTAAGTCACCCCTTTTGTCTTAACTGTTCTTGTCTTTTGGCACCTCTGCGCATGCGCGCACTGGCAACAGGCTCCCCCTGTTCCTCTGCCTCGCTGATGTCAGATTCCGGAGGCAGCATATAACTACCAGATGGCCCTGATCCCCTCTCTGCCTCCGACACAGAGCCGTCGTCAAAGCCTTCCCTAGACTCCAGGACTGGCCCATGCTCCTCCCCAAACTCCTCACTGTCCGACTCTGCTGCCAACTCTGCAGGCCGCTGGCGGATCACAAGATGAGCAATACGGACTTTTCCTACCATCTTATTGTCTTGATAATTTGCAAGAGGTGTCATTCAAAGAAGAATTTCCTCCCCCCTCTACAGCACAACTGAAGTTAGAGAAATGAGAAGGCATATGAAATAGAAACAATAGAAACAGAAAGAAGCAACCAAACAGCTCGTAAATAGCAAAAGTAAGCAACTTTATTGTTTCCCACCTATATTATGTGCCCAGATGTTTGACTTCCCATGGGGGGCTAACCAGATAAGGCTTCATAGATCATGGGGGAAGTCAAGCTTATGCACTTACAGCTATGCAAGGACTCTAAGCTAGGGCCTTGCTTGACATCTTCCCCCTTCCATTCCAGTTAGCGGTTTCCCAGCACAAATACAGTATGTTTCTTTTTCCTCCACCCTAATTTAGCTCCTGGAGAAATATATGTTCTTCTACACTGAGTTTGGCTCACATGCCCAGAGGTAATCAATCAGGAGAAGAAAAGCATATGGATGGGAACTGCAGAACTATGGAAATGGCCCTTCTATTTAGGATTTCACACTGATGTACAACCTTGTGCAAAATGCTAGATTAGACACACACACACACACACACACACACTGCAAGGGACGCAGTGTCTAAGACACTGAGCTTGTCGATCAGAAGGTTGGCAGGTTGGTGCTTCGAATCCCTAGTGCCGCGGAACGGAGTGAGCTCCCGTGACTTGTCCCAGCTTCTGTCAACCTAGCAGTTTGAAAGCACGCAAAAAATGTATAGGAAGTAGAAAAATAGGAACCACCTTTGGTGGGAGGGTAACAGCATTTCGTGCGNAGCTTGTCGATCAGAAAGGTCGGCAGTTTGGCGGTTCGAATCCGTAGCGCAATGTAACGGAGGGAGCTCCCGTGACTTGTCCCAGCTTCTGCCAACCTAGCAGTTTGAAAGCATGGAAAAAATGCAAGTAGAAAAATAGGAACCACCTTTGGTGGGAAGCTAACAGCGTTCCGTGCACCTTCGGCGTTGAGTCATGCCGGCCACATGACCACAGAGACTTCTTTGGACAGCGCTGGCTCTTCGGCTTTGAAACAGAGATGAGATGACTGCCCCCTAGAGTTGGGAATGACTAGCACATATGTGCAAGGGGAACCTTTACCCAGCCCTCCCGAGACCCACAAGACAGACCGCTGCCCTTTTTCTTCAAGAGCTGCTTTCAATGCACTCTGAATCGGAAGAGCTTGTCAATGCAAGAGCCCGCCTTAAAGGTCCCCCATGGATGACTGCTCCGCCATTTAATGGCGGACGTATTAAGTCCCACCCAGCTCTGCCTGGCAGAATATAAGTGGAAAGGGGGGGGGGGATGGCTCAGAAAGCAGGATAAAAAGAGAGGGTGGGGGGAAGAAAGAGGGGGAGAAGAGAAGAAATTTCAAACTATTATTCTCCCTACCCCTAAACACTATCATTATTTTTAATCCCATCCCATAATTTGTGGTTGCAGTTGACACAGTGCTTCTGAATGCTTGAGGTTAATCATACTGCCAGGGAAAAGAGTCCCAGCTTCTTCCCAATAGCTTTCTGTCCTCAAAAAAACCCCCAAGCATTTTCAATGATTTCTGCTCCTTAAATGTACAGCAAGACAGTAATTCCATGATCCGGTTCCTTCCAAGTTCACCAAAGGAAGCAGAAGGCTGCAGAAGAGCTCTCTTTATGATTTATCTCTTTCATTTTTGGTGGGGTTGACTTGTCCAAGCCTCGTAGGGTGCTGGATTCAATCAAAACCGCATCTGGTTCTGGCCTCGGTGTTCAAATGTGGTGGTTGGGGTTTTTTTTTTTTTTTTTTTTTTTGAACTCTACACAAACTTTGAACCGGGCAATACAACGTTAACCTGCAGGGCGGAAGCAATTGACTTTGTACATCGACCCGGTAAAAGTATAATGCTCTGGAGTTCAAGACTTAGCTTGNTCATTATTTAGAGTACCCATATACAAAGGGGGAGACAGATTTATTATACAGCATATGTTATTTCCACAGGGGGGAGATTTTTTAAAATCAGAAATCTCAGGTAAAGGATTGTCCATATGCAAATCATTATTAACAAAAAAGTATTGTTCCCCAAGACAGATGCATAAAGAAATATGGATCTATTTAGAATAACAATGTTGGAAGGGCCTTGGAGGTCTTCTAGTCCAACCCCCTGCTTACGCAGGGAACCTTATACCATTAAAGAAAAATGGTTATCCAACATCTTCTTAAAAATACTTCCAGTGTTGGAGCATTCACAACTTCTAGAGGCAAGTCGTTCCACTGATTAATTCTTCCTACTGTCAAGAAACTTCTTAATTCTAGGTTGATTCTCTTCTTGAGTAGTTTCCACCAATTGCTTTTTGTCCTGCCTTCAGGTGCTTTGGAGAAAAGCTTGACTCCCTCTTCATTGCGATCATGTCTCCCCTAGTCCTTCTTTTCATCAAACTAGACATACCCAATCCCTGCAGCCGTTCTTCATATGTTTTAGCCTCCAGTCCCCAAATCATCTTTGTTGCTCTTCTCTGCACTCTTTCTAGAGTCTCCAGATCTTCTTTACATTTTGGAGACCAAAACTGGATGCAGTATTCCAAGTGTGGCCTTACCAAGGCATTATAAAGTGGTATTAAAACTTCATGTGATCTTGATTCTGTCCCTCTGTTTATGCAGCCTAGAACTGTGTTGGCTTTTTTGACAGCTGCTGCACAAGGCTGGCTCATATTTAAGCGAGGTTGAGCTTTCTGAGTTGGTGCAGAAAGAACATTCTTTGATGTGCTTTTTTATGATATTTTTGAGGTTGTGGCCCAGCAGGAGCCGTTGGAGCTGCAAATAGACTCCAATAGTGAGGGACGCTCTGAGTCAGCTCTGGAAGATGTGGAGGAGCCTGGACAGGGTTCAGACTCCAAGCACGGACCAGAGAGGCTGGTTGGCCACCAGGAGGCGCCTGAGGCATAGAGCAGCGGTGAAAGCCAAAGGGAGTTTGTCCCTGACATCAGGCCCTGGAGCAGTGGGGAGGAGCTAAGGGAGTTAGTCCCAGACACCAGGCAAAGACAGGAAGATAAGCACCGACAGGTGGTTGTGATTAGACTCCTCCCAAGAGAGTATATAAGAGGAGACTTTGGGAGTAAGCTGTTTGCAGGACACAACTAGAGCTGGTGTTGAGATATGATAGAACCTAGAACCTTGAAGTTCTCTATTGTTGATACTGTGTTGTCTAGTGTTGCAAGAGGTGGTAGTATAGGAGGGTTTCTCCTAAAACCTACCACCAATTCTATGGTTTGGGGTGTATTTAGTTCAAGATTGTACTGGTTACACCACAAGGCTAGTTGTTCAACCTCCCATCTGTATGCAGATTCGTTGTTCTCTGGAATAAGACCAATCACTGTTGTGTCAACTGCAAACTTTAGTACTTCAACAGAAAGATCTTTTGAGATGCAGTAATTGGTGCGTCTCAAAAGGTATTTATGGATACACTAAAAAAACCCACTTTAATGTATTATTCCTTGAAAAATACCACTGTGCAACCCCCTCTTAAGCGTTAGAAGAAAAGTTTTTGTTTTTGTTTTGCTTTTGTGGGCNGCAGGACGCATACAGCGCCTGCGCGATCCTCCAGGAGCAGCTGGAGCATCGCACAGACGCTAGTACGCATGCGTGTGCCGCGCACGTGCATGCGAGGACATCACGCGCGTGCACGCGAGGATGCCGCATGCGTGTGCGAGGACGCCGCACGCGTGCGCGAGGACGCCACCGGCCTCGTTCCAACCGAAGCGGTTGGAACGGGGCGAGAAACCCACCCCTGGTGGGAGCCCAGGATAAAAACACTTAGCTGCGAATGGTAGAATACCATCCCATAGAAAGTAATATTTGTAGCTCAGGTTGAATTGTGGGATCCTTGGTGCTCTCTCTGAGTATGGTTGTTTTCTTGCAGACGTTTCATTACCTAACTAGGTACCATCACCAGTGCTAGAAGAAGTGTGCTCTCTGTCAGTGTTGATGGGAGAGTT